TATTTCATCAGGATTTTCCTGTGCCAATGAAATCACACATCCAATCCTCCCCCTTTCAAATTTACATAAATAATAACCATAAAACCATAAAAACCATAGGTGGGCTTGTTTTCCATTGCAACATTTTTCAAAACATAATTTCAATGGTGAAATTGCTACTGTAATTCCTTTTCAAACACTAATCAAGATTAATATTTTGTCTTTATAATAGCAACAGCAGAAAACTGTATTTCACACAAATAAAATATCATAAATGGTGGTAATTTTTTAAATTACTTTGATGAACCAAAAATAAATCTCTTTTTCATTTTTAGCCAAAACAAATGAAAATTCTCAGATCTTAAATGCTTGCTTCAACATTAAACAAGCTATTATAAGTCTATGAACAAGTCTGCTATTACGAGATTATTAACTATTCTTGTTCAAATAGAGTAAGATCAAATGCATCATATTTATACAGGACAAATGAGTTCATCATCTATTCATATTTTAAAATACCTAGGTGTTTAAAACAAAATAAGATATATGCCGAAATATTCATCACAGCACATTCACTGTAGCAAAGAACTGGATATGAAGTAGATCTCCCACTGATTGGGATATACTGTAATTAAACAAATTGCAGTACATAAATGTAATGGAATATCACTTCGCTGTAAGGAACAATGACTATGAAGAATTCACAGAAACGCAGAAACACTTATCCGAAACAGATGTGGAGTGAAGGAAGCAGAAACAATAAAATAATATATACAAACACTACAATATAGATGGAGGAAAAACTCTAAACTGGATACTGTGCGATTATGATGACCCAGCTTGGTTCCCCAAAAGAAAAAAAAACATTTCTGTCCTTTCTTTGAAGAGATGAAGGACTGTGGATATGGAATATTGCCTACATCACCAGAGGAAGCTAGGTGTAATGGATAGAGCACTGGGCCTGGAGTTAGGAAGACCTGAATTCAAATCCAGCCTCAGACACTTACTAGCTGTATGACCTTGGACAAGTCACTTAACTTCTGTTTGCCTCAGTTTCCTCATACAGAAAAGGAAATAGCAAACCACTCCAGTACTGCCAAGAAAACCCCAAATGGGATCATGAAGAGTTGGACATGATTGAAACAACTTAACAATACATTTTGAGACTCCATTGATGGGTTAGTTAGCTTTACTGAACTGCCTTTTTCCTCTTCTTTCTGTCTCTTTTAAAAAATTCTTCATTACAAAAAATGGCTCATTGGAGAGGGGGACAAATCAATTTCAAAATGAATGTGATATAAAAGTAAGACATGTCTATAAAAATTTTAAAAATCTAATAAAAAATTCTTCTGTAGTCAAAGGATAAGTAAGCATGTCTTTACTCTCTTCTGTTTCATTCACAAAACTGGCATTTTAAAAAAATTTAAAATGATGTAAAAATTTTATTTTGTAAATTTATTAACCATTCTTCTCACTTTTCCATAAATTCCATTGTTTTGCCTTTTTGAGTTCTAGTATGAATGAGGATCTTGCATTCATTTATTTACTCAGTTAAAAAATATCCTCCAACTCCAATTTTCAAGAGGAAATTTTCCCCATAAAATTGTTCTACAAAACCCAGGGGCTCCAACAAGGCACCTCAGGCTTATAAGGATGTAGGCTCAATCCTCGGTGGCCTGACCCTTAAGGACTTAAACACGCCATGATAATTTAAAACTACTGTTATGCTGTCCTGAGAGGATCATACTTAAAACACCCAAACATGAGACATTTGTGGAGATTGCTAAGTTATCATTTCATCTTCACATTGTCCAAACAACTTTCATGAAGTCCATGTGTTCTGATAAGCCAGGCTAGAACTCCTTTTCATGATAATCTTCTTCAAGAACAGTGTTATTTCAAAACACTCCTGCTAGTCAGCTCTGTCTAACCAGGTGCTACCAACTTGAACTCATGGGACTGACTCCAAGGTTGGACATGTTTATGTCAAGATCACAGCTATGCTCAGGGAACACAAAACAGATGAGGCAGTTAGAAGCCCGAGGTCCAGGCTCAGGCTTGCCTAGGCAGGACATGTACCCATTGATATCTGCTTGAAGTCACCATGCTCCAAGTGTGCCCTTCTTTTACCCCTCAAAAAGAAGTCCCAGAGTCACTTATGCCATGTGTACTGGAGAGATAAATGAAAAGAGAGAACAGAAATTGTTTCTCATTTTAAAATGACACACTGCCTAGGCCCCACAGCTACCATGAAGGAGAGAACAGAGAAATCAAAGGATGGCTTAGAATTTGTTGTGTCATTACAAAGCATCAAGTCCTTCCCAGCTGAGCATGTTTCCCCAGAAGTAGCCAGGGAGCAGGCTCAGCACTCCATCGTGTATGTACCAGCCACGGTAGACTACAGGGGCCTGTCACATATTCTGATTATACAGGCACAATGATTTTTCATCTCTATCATTAACAGTACTTGTGAATCTTAATGATAATACAGTGGATTGAATCTTCTGAATTTAAGTTTTCTTTGTGTTTCTGCAGTTCTGTTACTTAAACCAACTCTATTATCTTTGCTTCATAATACCACCTTCAATAGCTTCTCCCACAGAGACCATAGATACCATTACTGTATCATTAAAAGGCAATAAAGCCCTGACTTATTGCCAAGATGGTTTCTTGAATAGGAGGCTGACCGCCCAGCTCCCACATAACCACTACAGAAAAACTCTGAAGTTAGAACCAGACTGAATAATGATCAAGAAATCCAATAAGAAATTATAATAAATGCTTCCTCCAATTCAGAATTGCACACAAAAGCCAGCCAGAAGCTCACAGAAAATAGTAAAGAGCTCCTGCCAGCAAAGACAGCATCATTGTATGGTACCTTCCCAATGTGGCCAGGGACCCATGGAGTCTGCAAAGCTCTGTGTCCCGAGGCAGCAAGAGCAGAGAGTCCTCTGAAAAATCCCCAAAACTGTCAGGAAACATCAGGATAAGGTTGTTGTTGTTGTTGTTTGTTTTTTGTTCTCAAAGAGGACCATGACATCGGAAAAAATGGTTTCACAACTTGCAAGTGAATTGGATTTGGGTGAGGCTAGGCTGTGCAAAAGTCACCAGCCTCACTCTCCTGAGCCATCCACCAGGGTAAGAACTTTGGAAGACTCAGTATGATACATTAATGATAATGATGCATTAATACTCAGACCAAAATACCCCCTGACCTAGCAGGAATAATGTCTTTAATAATCTCTCTTGAGACACTAGAGATGGCCTTAAACATGCAGGGCTCTGAACCTTAAAGATCCAAGGTGGAAGTTGAGGGGGAAAGGGGTCCAACTGCAGGAAGTGAAAGTCAACTTAAGAACCCAGGTAGGATTGACCAACCCACCCAAAAATTCAGCAGAGGGAAGAACCTAGCCCTGGCACAAAGACTCAATTCAGGAACTAAAGCTGGAGAGACGAGTAAAGCAAAGAAGATATTAATCAATGTGAAAAACTGATGCAAATCTAGAGATGCCAAAAAGGGAGTAACTGTAAAAATTGCAAGCAGACTCAAAGGAAAAAAATTAATTTTCTGCAAGGACTTACATGAATTCCTAGAAGAAATAAAGCAAGAGAAAGAAAATGATATAAAGGCTCTGGAGATAAGAATTGTGAAGATAATAAGTCACTTAAAAGACAATAAAACTTACTCAAGAAATGGACTCCTTGAAAACTAGGATAAACCAAGAAGAAACAAATAACTCCACGAGGTGGCAAGAAATGCCAGAATACAATAAAAAGGAATGAAGAAAAATTGAAGAAATGTGACATCAAAAAAACTGACCTGAAAAAACATGTCAAGGAGAAAGAATTTAAGACTTGGTAGACTTTCTGAAAATTACAGTAAAAAAGGAACTTAGACACCACATTTTAAGAAATCATAAATGAAAACTGCTGAGGTCTATTAGAGTCAGCAGGTAAAATAAAGATATAAAGAATCTGCCAACAACTTCCTGAAAGGAAATCCAAAAGAAAAAGTTCCAGGAATGTCATAAATAAGATCCAGAACTCACAAGTCAAAGAAAATACTGCAAGCATCCAGAAAGAAACCATTCAAGTACCAACAAACTAGTCAGGATCACACAGGACCTGGCAGTATCTACTTAAAATGAGAGGAGATCTTGGAATACAATATTCCAAATGGCAAAAGATATGGTACTACAATTGGTCGGCTAATTAGCATTTATTAAGTGCCTACTCTGTCACTGGATTCCATGAATAAAAGGGTTGCTGAGATCTCTCAGGAATGAGTGAGACAAAAGACGCTGCTCATGCTGATAAGCCTTTTTGAATTCCTCTGTAGCCAATCAATGATCTTCTATTATATGTGGTTAGTTAACCAGAATCAGTTATAAGATGTCTTCACAGGCTCCACCGTGTCCCCAAGATGTTTTCTTTACACATCATTATGATTCTCCTGGAATCAAGGACTCTTTACAAGAAGAGATGATATCACAGGCACTCTGAACATGTCATACCTCCATTACATATGTAATGACATATATGCACACACATACATATATGTATGTATATGTACATATATAGCATATATGTATGTGTATATGTGTTAAAACAAGCAGTGTAAAATGGAGATTCATGGTTTTTATATAAAATCCTCTTTTTGTGTTCTGCTATGTGTAAGGAAATACTGAGGGGTTTGGGTGCTTAAGTTCAAAATTTAAGAAAAAATTTTAAATGGGTAATAGAATCTTGAGAAATTATGACCTTTTATGGCTGTTGAGAGACTGAGTGAGGTACAGAGAGAAAGCAAATGAAGAGAATTTTTAATCTGATTGAACTTTTAACTTTTATCTTGTGTAGAAACACCAAAAAGAGAATTCTTGAAAAACTCTGACTGCTATCTGGAGACTGAAATAATGAGATGATGTTCCAGAAGTGAAGAGATATCAAGAGTGATGGTTAGAGGCAACTATGGATATAATATTTCTCATAGCTGAAACATAAATAATTACTCATATCTTCATTTTATTGTACATTATACTGTTAATCACTTACATCAGCAGTAACTTTAGTGTTTAAAACTTTTTTTATGTATATAGCGAGATGAGTAATGCTCATAGGCAAAAGGATTTCTCTAGTTTGTTAAACAAACAATATTTAATGCACTAAGATGGGGCCTCAGAGCTAATTAATTGCAATTTTAGCAATTGATATGAAAATAGCAGAATATTCTCCCTAATTATCATATAACCCAGGATGAGAGAATGAATATGGCAATGAGTCATGTAGCAGGATGAAGTGATCATCCATATAGGCTCCATGTTGACCCTAAAACTCCGGGATACTTTTATTAGTTTCAACTTGCAGATTTTCTCAAACTGGTTATGTCTTTATGAATGAATAAAAAAGCTTTAAATATTTATCATGTACCAAGCACTGTGCTAAGAAACAAAAGTCCATGCCTGCTCTCAAAGAGCCTACACTCTAATGGAGGCATCAGTACATATAAGGGACTATTGGTCAGAAAGGGGTATTTTGTTTTAAAGAGTTAAAAGGGTAGTGAGGGGAGTCATGAGGAAGCTATGTGTGCACACCCTTATCAGTGGCAGTGGCAGTATTGTTTTGATTATAGCTCCACAACTGGAAAGTGAGGAGAGGGAGAGGAAGGGGTAAACCAAGAAGTGCCAGTGGTAGCAAAGTAGCTTGCAAGGCATTGACTGGGGAGTAAAATGAGGCATTGCTGAAGCAGCTGAGATAGTCACCAGTTAGGACCTCAGGGGCCCCAGGGAGGGAGACTTGGAGCTGCAAAGGTTAAATTGTGTAGGTCTAGGCAGCAAAATGACTGATGAAGAGATGATAAGGAAATAAAGTGAAGTAGGTCTGAAGCAGCCAGCCTGATATAATGGGCCATATTAGGGTTATTCACTAATCAGGATTAGCAGAGCCCCAAGGTAAAGCCCATCACAAAGAGATCTTATTTCACTTTCTTAAAATTAGGCACAGGAGGGACAAGGGGAGGAATACAAGGGGGAATTAATGCAATGTAAAAACAAAAGATATCAGTAAACCTTTGTTTTTTAATTAGAAAGAAAAATCAAAGATAATTAACTTTAATTCTTTAAAATTTAAAATAATTATCCATAATTGCTCTAGACTTACTTCAATTCTTTTAAAATTGAAGATCTTTTGGAAACCAACTTATTATATTGTGTCACACTCCTCTAACATATAAGACTCTGACTCTGGACTCCAGCAAACCAGATTCAGTCTTGGGTGAGCCTGACTCCAAAAAAGGAGGGATTGGGGTTTTTTTCACACTCACATTATGACCCCAACTGGGAGCCCTATGGGGAAAAAAATCTCTTTTTAGAAAAACTTAGATATGTCTTTTATCTAGAGTTTCCCCCAAAGGGACTAGTATGGTCCTTTTTAGAAAAGTTGTTTAAATGTACAAAGCAGTGGGTAGCAGGAATCTATTTCCTCTACAACAAAAGAAATGCTTAAAACACAAAGAACTATAAGCACTCACTTACAAATATTTAGAATTTGCACTATAAGACTTATACATGTGTACTAACACATATTTAAAACATACACTATAATGCCTCATTTCTATTTAACTCTTCCAGGCATTAAAAACTCCCAGCTGCTGAATAGTTATTTCAATATTCACGTTAGATCTGTACTATGAGTGGCAATTCAAGGTTCATATCTTCTGGCCAACCAGGCATGTGTGATTCATCTTCCTAGTCGTGGTCATCTTCTCCAAGGAGGGAGCACCCCAAACTGGGTAGTCCAATTCAGTGAATCCTTACCTCTCAAACTCAAATGGTAGCCATGAAAACTGGAAACCTCTATTTCTCAGGATCGCTTTTCAGGAACTGATACTTAGGAAAAGAAATGCAAAACAGAAAAGGCAGCTATCCAGAGGTAACCCTGAAGTTCTGTTTCAGGCTTACTTAGACAAGCAAGTGTATTAGTCACTATTGTAATGTGTTTAAGCTGTGGGTTGTCATTGATGCTAGGTTAGGGCAGGAGAGAAAAGTCCTTCACTCCCCCATAGAAGTCCAAAGGAGAGCTGATGTTGGTTGTACCCCAACAAAGAGGCTGCTTTAGAAGGGACCAGATCCTTCTCTTCTTGCATTGCAAAGAGTGGGCAGCTCTTCCTAGCTCAATTGGCAATCTTCTTTGACACATTCTTTTGCCTGTAACAGAGACCAAAGGATCAACCCATATATGTATCCTTTAGTAAGGTGCTAGAACCCATGTGTTCACTCAAAGGGACTGAGACACAGGGCCAGCCCTGTGTATGTGTATGGTCCTTGGGATGGTTCCTGATACAATTGTACTTATCAAGATGAATGACATTGAGAAATAAAATACATATTATAATACTTTTACAAAAGATTGTTTAGTTTTGAGCTTATATACTTCATATTGAAATTCTGCAGATTACACAATTCATCTATGTCATGAGCTTAAGAAGAGCTGATGATAATAGTGACAGGTTGTACCCAAGTCAAGATTTGAAATTCAACAAGCTCTGAGTAAATTGACTTCGTTTTTATAGACCATTTTAAATAACTACACTGCATTCACTGGCAGTTGAAAGAATTCATTATATTAGCCTTGCTTTTACTGACTTTGAACTTTGTTTTCTTTGAAATATGTGGATCTGCAATACAATGATCCATGACAATTCCAAAGGATTCATGATGAAAAATGGTATCCACCTCCAGAGAGAGAGCTCTGAGTGCAGATTGAAGAATGTTTTTTCACTTTATTTTCCTTGCTTTTTTTTTTTTTTGGCAGCATGGCCAATATAGAAATATGTTTTGCATAATTTCACATGAATATATTGCTTGCCTTCTCAGGGAGGGGCTAAAGGGACAGAAAGAATCTAGAACTCAAAAATTTTAAATGAATGCTAAAAAGAAAAGAAAAGAATACAAACGCTGACAAAAAGAAAGAAGACTGTGGATCTGTTTATGGAGGAGTTATGCTATGAAATATCCATCCATTTTAGTTATTGCTGTGTGCCCTCCAATCCTACTGCCAGTCACACCTTGACAAACACCAACCCTCGGTTACCTCATACATCACCCTTCTCTTCTCCTCTTCGCTGCCACTGAATACTGCTAGAGAAAGTTGGGTAACAGTGTAAACTCTATCCACTACAAATTTATGTTATCTAATCTCAGCTGAGCCCTTACAGACATAAAGCGATACTTTTATTCCTCCCGAATTGTTTCATACGCTTTCCTCAGGGGCTATTCCAAATTCTTCTCTACTCAGTCTCTCCATACCTTCTCTTTCTTATCCCCTCTTAGTAGAGGACCACAGATGCTAAAGAGAGTTCATCCATCTCAAGCTCATTTTTCTCTGTTCTATATCCCAAAACCTGGTCTTCATCATTCCCAATTCTCCCCTTCTTTGCCCTCATCTCTAGGGAAGAGATGGCTTTTCTCCTTGCCAACGTCAATCTTTCTACTTTTATTCTTGATCCCACCCACTCCTCTCTTGATCCCCAACTCTCTGGGAGCTGGCCCTTTGGAGCATTCCCTCTCCCATCTTCAATATGTTCTTATTCACTGTCCGCTGTTGCCTACAAACATGCCCAGATCTCTCCCACCCTTAAAACAAAGCAATACAGAAAAATGTTTACTTGATCTCCACTCATCACCTGCATTTCTTCACCTTCCACTCACTTCTCAACTCCTTGCCATCTGGTTTCGAACCTAACTACTCTACTGAGTCTGCTCTGTCTGGGGTTACCAAAGATCTTTTAACAGCTAAATGCAGTGGCTTTTTCTCAGCCCTCGTTCTACTTGACTTCTCCAGTTTTTGACGCTGTCAGAAGGCAGGAGTGGGGGGGGGAGGATGTCTTCCTGAATCCTCTTTCTTCTGTTGGACTTCTGTGACACAACCCACTCCTAGAGAATATTTCCTGGCTCCCCAGACTTAGTAGGTTCTCTCACTCCTGGTATTGCTTTGTATTTACTTATCTGTGTATGTGTAGGTTGTTGTTGTTTATTCTTCATTTTTTTTCTTTTCTTTTCTTTTTTTTTTGCTTTTTGGTGAGGCAATTGGGGTTAAGAGACTCGCCCAGAGTCACACAGTTAGTAAGTGTCAAGTGTCTGAGGCCGGATTTGAACTCGGGTCCGCCTGGTTCCAAGACCGGAGCTCTATCCACTGTGCCACCTAGCTGCCCCCTTTTGTTCTTCATTCTTGACCATGTAGAACAGAGATTCCCAAACTTATTTGGCCTAATACTCTCTTTAAAAAAAAAAATTACCCAGAGCCCGTCTGGGAATCTCCTTTCTTTAACCCTTCAATAGCTGCTTTTTTTTTTTGAAATTTGCATCATTTCAAAAAATACATAATATATTTAAATGATGCATTTTAAATTTAATAGTTTATTGTAAATTTGTGGGGTTTTTCCTGCATTGAAATTTTGATGATATAACATTGCATCATGTAACTGTATAGTATTGCATTGTAAACAAGTCATTACACACACATATTCCTGCTGATGCATGTTGGATTTCCTCGATAGCCTGCTAACACCTGCTCCTTAAGACCTGTTGGAAGACTTGACCACTGATTGGTTGTAAGTTGCATTTTGTGTGTTTATTTGGAAAATAATGTAATCACTGTGACTTTACCTCTGTTACATAACAGGTGAAACATATACATATGGTTTTTCAAATTTTTCTTATCTTTTTTCCTTATGCTTCCAACTCCCCCTTATTTTTATTCGATGCTCCCCAATTGCACTTGAGGCTACTACCCCCCATTGGTCCAGCACTTCCCGTGGGGTGGTATCGCCCACTTTGGGAAACTCTGAAAGAGACAATAAAGCCCCTTTGCAAACTTTAAATGTGAGCCATTGAGTTCTCTGAAAGAACAGACTGTTTGTTTTTGTCTTTACATCTCCAGAGCCTAGTACAGTACCCTGCATGTAGTACACGCTTGAAAAAAAATTCTGAATTGAATGGAATTGAATGACCTCCAGAGCTTCTCCCTCACCGGTATGTACCTGGGGAGGAGGAAGTACCCAGGGATGGAGGGCCAGAGGCCATCCACCGCAAGAGAGGAGAACAAACAAGGAAAAGAGGGAGATATTGCAGTGATCTAGGACTTATTAATGGGGAACTTTAGTCAGCTGTGAAGGCTAAGATGGGGTGATAACCATCCTGGCAGCGGTCAAAGGGTGGGGGTGAGGGTGGCTACCAAAAAGCCAGGTTATTGGGCACCAGCTTTACTCCCCGCCCCTCATTTTCCCCCTGTGCCCAAGCCAGCGCCTTAGATGGCTCTATAAATGCCCCAATCCCAGCTTTCTCCAGAGACTGCCTGAAAAACCCCTGTCACTCTAGTCCTTCTGTATCTCTCACAGCCTCCAAGTGGGGCCCCAGCCCAAAGAATGTGGGAGCTGCGTTCCTTAGCCTTCTCTCGGGCTGTCTGTGCAGAGTTCTTGGCCACACTCCTCTTCGTCTTCTTTGGCCTGGGGTCAGCCCTCGACTGGCCTCAAGCTCATCCCTCTGTCCTGCAGATCTCTCTTGCCTTTGGTCTGGCCATTGGCACCCTGGTGCAAACCTTTAGCCATGTGAGCGGAGCCCACATTAACCCAGCTGTGACTGTAGCCTGTCTGGTGGGTTGCCATGTCTCCTTCCTCCGAGCTATCTTCTATGTGGCTGCCCAGATCCTGGGGGCTGTAGCTGGGGCTGCCCTTCTCCAGGAGCTCACTGCACCTGACATCCGGGGAGATCTAGGCATCAATGTGGTGAGTAGTCCAGAAGTAGTACCAGAATAGGGATCAAGAGAGTTTCAAGTCACTATGCCACTTAAGAAAGGCAATTCAGCATAGCGGACATCCACCAGAAGATCTAGTTCTGAATTCTCTTCTGTTACTCACTAGCTATGTGCTGTGGTCAAATCACTTAACTTCTTTGTTTCTCTGTTTCCATATCTGTAAAACATAAAATGATAATTCCTACAGAACCTGCCTTTCTGAGTTGTTGTGATGATCATATGAGTTAATCGTTCTTAAGTGCTTTGTAAGTCTCAAAGGGCTTTATAAATGTCAGGTGTTACTAGCTATGTGACTCTGGTCTAATCACTTTATATCTCTAAACATATCTTCTCATCTGTAAAATTAAGATACCAACACATACCATTGACTTCACAAGATCTTTGTAAGTTGGAAGACATTGTATTAAGGGGAATTATTATTATTCTCGACCTCTAGGAATAGAAAAGGGCCGGGAAAGGCTTTTGCTGATTGTTGGGGTAAGATGGTCTAGGAACTCAGGATTCTAAATTTGAATGTGAGACACTAGGTTTGTTGTTGTTGTTGTTTTAACGGAAAGTAGAGGTAACCAGGACAGTCTATATTTGGTGAGGAATGCTGGAGATTGGAGGTAAGATTCAAGCCCCAGGTGGAGGCTCCAGCCAAATTAAGAATCAGGGTTACAAATGTAATTAAAAGCTATCAAAGGTCTAAGTTATCCTTAAGAACAGAGATGGGACTGGGGTTCACAATGGGTACATAAATTCGGAATTTTTGTACTCCAAGAAACAACCTTAGAAATCAGCACTACAGGTACATGGTTCTTAACCTCTTGTTTTTCTTTTCTTTTCTTTCCCCCTGTGCTGGACACCTCTGGCAGTCTGGTGAAGCCTATCTGACTCCTTCTCAGAAAAAGGTTTTTAAATGCACAAAAGAAAATACAAAAGAAAACTAGTTATATTGAAACACAGTTATTAAAATAGCTTTTTAAAAAAAATACAAGTTCATGGACCCCAGTTAAAAAAACTCCTATTGTAATAGAAAAGGTGCTAGGCTGCTCAGCTGGAGAGCTAGTTCTAGCTCTAGTCCCCTTAGAACCAAGGGGAAGGAGGTAGATCTGTGGGTTCTGAGCAATCCTGATCAGAAGGAGTAGAAGTCAGGAGTGGGGCATTCTAGGAACAACTGGAAATCTGGGACTTTGATTCTCCCCTCAAGAGTCGGATGAGGGAATCTACCAAGCTCCCCACTTATAGTTCTTCCTCTCCCTTCCCTGACTTCATCCCTTTCGCCAATCCTTCTGTTTCTACCTATGAGGGCCCATCATCCCTGCTCCCACCTTCCTACGAATTTGTTTACTATAGCCTAGCCAGGGCTCACCCCCTGCAGCAGATACACAGGTAAAATAGTAGCTAATCCCGTGAGGTACCAGTTTCTTACTTGAGCTGTGTTGATGATTCCTTGTGACCCTAGGCAAGTCACTAAAACTCCTCGAGTCTCAGTTTCTTCATTTAGCAAATGAAATTAATAATACTTGTACTACCTATCTCACAGATAGAGCACTGTTCCTAGAGTCTTCTTGACATGAGTTTAAATCCAGCCTCAGATACTCACTAGCTATGTGACCCTGGGCAAGTCACTTAACTTTTGCTACAGTTTCCTCATCTATAAAATGGGGATAATAACAACATTTGCTTCCCAGGGCTGTTGTGAGAATAATATTTATGAAGTTCTATATAAATGCTAGCCATTATTATTTAAGGTACTCTGAAAAATATGATCTATTATTATCATTTTAGAAATGAGGAAACTGACGCCCAGAAAGGCTAGTTAGTGGCAGAGCCCGGACTAGGTCCTCTAACTATTTGCATTATGCTACACAGCCTCTTGCTAAGTTAAAACTGAGATGAAATGCAGGCTACTCTTGTGTATGTGGTGCTGCTACAGGGAGGAGTTATTTGTGTCATTGGAACAGACTGCCCACCATCCCCTGGGAGACCTAGAAAGCCTGAGCGCCAGTTCTAACCACAGCCATAGAGAGGTCCCAGGGAAGTCCTTTGAGTTAATAATAGCTAGGAATTGCAAACATGATTCCCTGAGAGGCACTGTGATGCGTTACAAAGAGCTCTAACTTTGGAGTTAGGAGCCCTGGGTCCTTGTCTTCAAACAAATACAGCTTGCATTATCTTTGGAAAGTAATTGAACTTCTGTGAATTCCTCATCTGTAAAAAATGGGCATAATAACTACCTATCTCACAGGGTGGTTGTAAAGAAAGTTCTTTATGAGCCTTAAAGACATGTAAAAATTGAGCTATTATCCTAATGTAGTGATTGATTCATCGGCTGACATGCAGAGGGCTGACACTGGGAGAACCCGAGGTATGCCAGGCACATGTGCTACCCTTCTACGCTGGCCACAACTTGAACTAACAGGACGTGATCTCTGATTCTCCATCCCTTCTCCCGGTCAGTTCCCCAGACTTCCCAAGGCTATTCAATAGTATCAGATTCACAATCCTAAAGTGGAAAGAGCTCTGGGTCTGGAGGCAGAAGAGTCAGATTTGAGTCCCAGCTCTGTTGTTTACTTATGTGATCTTCAGCTCATCCATGCACATCTCTGCCGCTTAGTTTTCTTCTTTAAACTGAGGGGTTTGGATCCTACGTCCACAGTAATCTATAGGATTTGGCACATAACTCTCACTATCCCCCACCCCAGCCTCCTTGTTAGTCAGAGAGGGCAGTGGTGAACAAAGTCCAGGTCACTTAGGTTCTTCTTCTTTGCCTCAGTTTCTCCCATGCAGTGTTACTGGGATCCACTTTTTGACCCTCTCTGGACTCCTAGAAGAGGTAAGTGGGATGCTCCCAAGAAATATCAGCAAGACTGGACCCTAAGAAAGTTCATCCCATCCAGCTATCACTTGCAGAACACAAAGCCAGCAGGGATAACTAATACACTGAATGACAGCATCCAAAATGTTCGTTATGGCTTAGAAAATTAGGCCAAATCTAATAAGATGAAACTCAAAAGGGTAAAAGGAAGGTTTTACATTTAGATTTAAGACGTTGACTGAAAGACATAGGGAGGCAGAGTTAGACAATGGTTTGTCTGGAAAAAGTCTTGGGGATTTCAGTGGACCACAAGCTCAATATGAGTCAATAATGTGATATTTGATTATGAATGGAAAGAAAGAAAGAAATGGAAGGAGGAAGGAGGGAGGGAGGGAGGGAAAAGGAAGGAAGGGAAGAAAGGAAGGATGGAAGAGAGAAAGAAAGAAGGAGGGAAGGAAAAGAAAGGAAGGAAGGGAAGAGAGAAGGACAGGAAGAAAGGAAGAAAAGAAAGGAAGGAGAGAAGGAAAGAAGAAAGAAAGAAGGAAGAAAGGAAAGAAGGAAAAGAAAAGAGAAAGTAAAAGAAAAGAAACTGTGATTATAATGACCCACTTTGGCCCCCAAAAAGAGATAAGAAAACGCACTTGCACCTCTCTTCATTCTTCTATGGGTGTGGAACATTGTATACATTGTCACACTCCATCAATGGGTTGGTTGGTTTTCTGAAACTGCTTCTCTCTCTCTCTCTCTCTCTCTCTCTCTCTCTCTCTCTCTCTCTCTCTCTCTCTCTCTCTCTCTCTTTCATTGCAAATGATGCCTTTCTGGGAAGGGAAGAGGGAGAGATAACTTTTGAAAACAGAAGTGATATAAAAACAATAGATATCAATACAAATTTTAAAAATGTGATTGAAAGCCCTAAAAGCTAATGAAACGGTAGACTGCATGGAGGGACATAGTTTCCAGGGGTAAGAAGTGATAGGTCACCTATACTCTGCTCTTGGCTGATATCATCTAGGTATCCAGGTTATTAGGTCAAGTATTAGTTTAAGTTCTGGACCCCAGAGTTTTGGAAGCATGCTGATAAGCTAGCGGGGGCCCAGAGCATGACTCAGGCAGCAAAAGGCCTGTGACATGTGAAGATTAGTTGAAGAAATTGGGGCCTGAAGAAGAAAAGGCTCACAGAAAATATAATAGCATCTGAAGGGCTGTCATGGAAGATGGATTAGCTCAGCGATGTCTGGCCCCAGAGGGCAGAATTGGAAGTAGCAAAGAGGCAAAGTTAGGCTGGAAGACAAACTTCCCAACAATTAGCTCAGCCTCAGAGTGAGCCAGGCTGCCTGAGGAGCAGGGGAAGAAAAAGTGAGGCTTTCTTCCTGGAGATCTTCAAGCAAAGATAGGATGACCATTTGTCAGGCACGTTGTACTGGGAATTCCTTCTTGGATATGGATTATTAATATTAATAGCCAATATATAGCATTTTGAGATTTGCAAAGCACTATATATATGCATACACACATACGTATATTTTTTATTTGATCCTTACAACAACCTTGAAGATAGAAACTCTTATTATCTCCATTTTACAGATGAAGAAACTGACAGAGACAGAGACTGTGACTTGCTTCCTCATGAGCTGTGGTCTGAAGTCAAATTTGAACTCAGGTCTTTCTGGTTTCAGGCCCAGTACTCTATCTACTGTACCGCCTCTACCGGGATGTTTTTAAATTTGAAACTGCCTTATTGTGTGATTCCTGCCTTCTGTTACACTCACTAGATCCTCCCTTCTCTTTGCATGTGAGTGCCTTGGGGAGTAGGGGGAATATTTTTACTTCAAGAGGGATATTAATCTGAAAGAGGATGACTGCCTTCTATTGGGTGATCTTAGGCAGGAACTCCGATCAGGAAAAGAAACTGGGGTAAGACTGGGTTAAATTAAGCATGATCTCCAACTCTTAGGATGCTTAGGAGGTTATAATTTATTATTATTATATTTATTTGTGTTTATCAGTCTCCCTCAATAAAGTGAAAGCGTTTCCAATTCAGCAAACATTTATTAAGTGTCTATTGTATGCATTGCAGGAACTACTTGAAGACAGAGACTAAGGTGTTTTTCATCACTGTATCCCCAGGGTCCTAACAGAGTACTTTGAACATAGTAATTACAATAACAGTAATAACAATGATAATAATATCTTATATTTATAAACCAGTATTTGATACGCTTGCTTAAGTTGTAATTGATTTACAATGAAGGAGGAACTTCCTTAGTTGATCTGTTAGTGAGCTAACAAATTAGGCTCCCCCTATCGAGGAGCGTTGGTGGAATCAACTTCAGATGCTAGGGCAGAACTTCACATGGCTGGAACGGTTCAGAGGTTATCCTGACCCAAAGCAGGATGATGGATGCTATGACACCAGAGTTTCCGAGAAGCCTAAGAGTCCTGCCCATTAGTGGCTCTGATCACCAGTGATAATGGGAGAAATTAAGGTTTGGTTCTAAAAGGGCCTCAGATGCCTAGACAGAACACTATAACCCAGGATAGGACAGGGAAGAAAAGGGAGTCTGGGACCTGGAGAAGATGCATGGGGGCCTTTTATCGGCAGCTGTTCCATTGAGACCAATGCCCAATCCCTGGGGGCAGGGAGAGGCTTGGCAAAATAAGTGGCAAAAACTAGGTTAGGGATTAGGTGTGGCTAGGTTATGAAATCAACTTTTAGCTCTTCTGCCTAAGGCTGCTCCTCTTGATCCCACCCAGCTTGGCACAGGGGTGAGGTTGGTGCCAGGAGATATACTGGGATGGATGGAGAGATGGCATAATTAGGGAAAGTGAAGCTCAGAGAGGGAATAGGTATAGTCCAGGAATACATTGAGGAATAGGCCAACTCTAGGAAACAGAAACATGTAGTAACAGGGTAAAATCTTGGTCCAGGGAAAGATTTAGGGAGTGGGAATAACCTTCTAAAAGCTTTTCTCCCTGCCACAGAAAACTTCCCCCAAACCTGAGGCCTCAACAGCCGACCAGTTTCCCCCAAAATTTGGGGAAAGAACTATAGGTTTAGCTTCTAAAGAAGCTATAATTCTAAAGAAGTATAGGCTTAGCTTCTAAACTCCCCCCCAAAATAACTTCCCCCTCCCACTCCCCAACCTCCTTAAGGAAAATGCCACACAAGGTGCTCTGACATCCATGGAAATTAAAGTCTTTCTTTCTGTCTAACCTAACTCTTTTCTCCTGCAGTGGAAACCCCCTCCTCTCTTATCCAGTTTGCTTCTCCTATAAAAGAGAGATCCTACAAGAAGCCTAAACTTGTATCATGATCTCAATATAGGTATACCTTGGAGATATTGCAGGGTCAGTTCCAGACCACAGCAATAAAGCCAATAATGCAATAAAACCAGTCACATGAATTTTTTGGTTTCCCAGTGAATGTAAAAGTTATGTTTACACTATACTGTAGTCTATTAAGTGTGCAATAGTATTATGTCTGAGAAAACAATGTACATACTTAATTTAAAAATACTTTATTGCTAAAAAATGCTAGCCATCATCTGAGGCTTCAGCGAGTCACAATCTTTTTGCTGGTGGAGGGTCTTGCCTCGATGTTGATGACTGCTGACTGAGTAGGGTGGTGGTTGTGAAAGGCTGGGATGGCTCTGGCAATTTCTTACAATAAGACAACAATGAAGTTTGCCACATCTATTGACTCTTTCTTTTGCTTATACACTTAGAAGCCATTGTAGGCTTATTAATTGGCCTAATTCCAAAATATTGTTGTGTCTCAGGGAAAAGGGAGCCTGAGGAGAAGGAGAGAGACAGGGACAGGCTGACAGTGGAGCAGTCAGAATACATACAACCTTAATTAAGTTTGCTGTCTTATAAGGGCCTGGTTTGTGGTGCCCCGAAACAATTACAATAGTAACATCAAAGATCACTGATCACAGATCACCATAACAGACAGAATAATAATAATGAAAAATTTGAAATATTGCAAGAATTATCAAAATGTGATGCAGAGACACGTCATGAGCACATGCTGTCGGAAAAATGGCGCCAATAGACTTACTTGATGCAGGATTGCCATAAACTTTCAATTTGTAAAAAAACAACAACAAAAGCAAATCTGCAAAGTGCAATAAAGCAAAGCATAATAAGATGAGGTGTGCCTGTATGTCCTCTCCTTATTCCCACCCCTATTTTCTTCTTAAGTCTAGACAATATCTATTCCTATCACTGTTTCTCTTCACAGTCTGGCTCCCAAACATTTATACCATAAAGACTACTCCCCTCCCTTTATCTGGGTACATCCATACTCTCCCAGCTCCAGGTAGGGATACAAGATAAGGAGAAATCATGAGCTTGGGACTAGGATGACAGGTGATGCTATTATGTATCATTCTATATTATTCCCATATGGAATGGTAATGAGGCAGAGGGAAGAATAAGGTATCTAGTGAAAACAGAACTGGACTTAGAGTTCTACCAGGTTTGAGACCGATTCCTTTGAAGCATCTAGGTGGCATGGTGGATAGAGTGATGGGCTTGGAGTAAGGAATACTTGAGTTCAAATCCTACCTCAGATACTTTTTAATTGTGTGACCCTGAGCAAGTCAATTAATCTCACTCAGCCTCAGTTTCTCTCATCTGTAAAATGGGGATCATAATAGCACCCACCTTACAGGGTTGTTGGGAGGACAAAATCAGACTATGTGTAAAGTGGTTTGCAAAATTTAAAATGCTATATAGATGTTAGTGATTATTATTTTTCCATTTACTAGCTCTGTGACCTTGGCCAAACCACAAAATATCTCTAGGTTTTAGTTTCTTTATTTGTAAAGTGAGGCCCAGACCAGAGCATAGCCTTCCAGTTACGAAGCCCTGTGAACTTCTTAAAAAGAAGGAAGGAAGGAAAGAAGGAAAGGAGGAGGAAAGAAGGAAGGAAGGAAGCAAGGAAAGAAGGAAGGAAGGATGGAAGGAAAGAAGGGAGGAAGGGAGGGAAGGAGGAAGGGGTACCTGCTTGCATGGGTGCTTAGGGCCCCATCTCCTCTGCTTCCTTCAAGCCACCTGTTACCCCCTGACTGCTCTCTTTCTCTAGCTCAGTAACAACACAACTGTTGGCCAAGGTGTCACCATAGAGCTCTTCTTGACCCTGCAGCTGGTCCTCTGTATCTTTGCCTCCACTGACGACCGTCGAGAGGACAACGTTGGCTCTCCAGCCCTCTCCATCGGCTTCTCAGTGGCCTTGGGCCACTTGCTGGGAGTAAGTCATAACCCAGTTCAGGCCTCCTGAGAGAGGGGACACCCTTCCCAAGGAGAAGACACGAATCCCACTGCCATCCCTTAATGTGTACCATGTCCCTCTCACTACCAATTCCCTGGTAAGACATAAAAAGGATGATTTCAGAATACCTGGCATTTATACGTTGCACTTTAAGGTTACCATTGGATCCTCATAACAGACCTTCCGAGGAGGGCAGTGTAGTGCCCACTTTACAGTGACATATGGTTTGGAGCAGGGGTAGGTGGGAGTCACATGAGTATTGCACATGTTGAAGGTGGAATTAAAACCTAGGTCTCTCCTCTCTAGAAGTTCAGGCCTCTGTACACTCCAGCTCCCATACAGCAGCTGATCTCATATGGTGAAATCTTCATCCTTTCTTCTGCCCTCTATGGATGCATACCTCTGCCTAGGCTATGTGGAGGCAAAGTGATGGTAGGGGTAGCTGTACAGGGGAGGAGGGAGCATACCAGCAATGAGGAATCCAGGAAACCCTGAGTGAGGCTTGGACACAAAGTGAAATCCTCAGTTTTGCTGCCTCAAATCCTGCTCCCGCCTTACTGAGGATTCTCCATGATCTTTTTCTCTCCCAGATCAACTATACTGGCTGTTCCATGAATCCAGCCCGTTCTCTGGGACCTGCTGTCGTCGTGGGCAAGTTTGATGACCACTGGGTAAGAGATGAAACCCTCTCCCCTCCCCACAAAAGATCCTAGAGGGAGACAGAGGGCCAGTATGTGGGAATTTCCCTTCTGGGAAAGGGGAATTGGTTCAGTGTTAAAGGATTAATTTCATAGGGATTTCCCAAAGAAATAGGATTCAACTACTCCCCACCACCAAAATGGTAGAGTCTGCAGACTCCCCAAGGGGCTTTGATGGTTCTTGAAGGTAGAACCAAGTCAGGCCAAGTCAGAGGTAAGGAAGATCCAAGATGTTCTAGGATTCCTATAATTCCCCTTGGAAATGGCTTTGAATCACAGAACTACCTCCTTCTGTTGGTTCTACCTCCTAAACCCTCTCTTTTCTCCATCTTCTCCTAGGTCTTCTGGGTTGGACCTCTGGTTGGTGCCATCCTGGGCTCACTCATCTACAATTACCTCCTATTCCCTCATGCTAAAAGCCTCTCAGAAAGGTTGGCCACTCTGAAGGGGAAAGAGCCAGATGTCGACTGGGAGGAAAGGGAAGTGAGGAGGAGGCAGTCTGTGGAACTCCACTCCCCCCAGAGCCTGCCTCGAGGCAGCAAAGCCTGATGATGTTCCTTTGGCCCCACACCAGGCCCTCTGGGGCAAAGAGAATGAACCCCAGAGATAGAGAAGCTAGGGGAACCTGGAGCTGTTGACTGTGGGGGTCAGAGCTTATGCCCTGGACTGGACGGGGTCTCCCACCCACACACACACTACTGTGCCTCTCTTCCATATCCGGACAGGAGACAACCTGCCTGTTCCCACCTACATTCTCATCCTTCCAAGGATGGAAGTTGGCCCCAGTACAGGATCCGAAACAGGTTCCTGTACCTGTGATGCAGTGGGTGACCCCTGCACAGGATACATATTGGGGGGAGGGGAGCAGCAGGTACTGGTAGGTGTAAGAAGAAGGACTGGGGCAAGGGATGAGGTCAGCAGACAGAAGCAGCAAGAGCTGCTGAGCTATTATGAAGAAGGAACTTGGTAGATTCCCTCACTTGACCCTGGAAGGCAGAATCAACTCCCACCTATTTCTATAACTCCCCCTGCTTTCCTTACAATGGCTGAGAACCTACAGATCCACCTCCTTGCCTCAATTCTCTAAACATTTAAATTCCCTTAACTAGAGCTAAGAGCTGAAGGATAGAGGGATATTAGAAGATCAGTCACTCCATGCCAGTGGGTTTGTGTACCTGCGGTTATGTGTGTTCATATGTGTCAATGTATGTGTTTGCATGTGCAGATTACTTATTAGTGTGTATTTGTATTTGCATGGGCACGTTGCTGTGTTCATACATGAATACGTGTTTGTACACGTGACTGTGTTGTTCTATATGTATATATTACTGTGAGTGTGTGTGTGCACACAGGCATATTTGGGTGTGTCTAGGAGTAAGTACACATTCTTGATTGTGTGTCTTTGAGGGTAAATGTCAGAGACCCAGTCACGAGTGTCTGCTTCCAGAAGCATCTGTGAATAGGCCTGAGCCAAGGACCCCTCCTTCTTTCCTTGACTTGTCTTACTTCCCCTGGTATTGCCAAACCTTTGACCATTTTCTTGGGTTCACACCGATCCTCTGCAATAAACCAGATTCCCCAGCCTAGAACCCTTTGGTGTTTTATGTCATCTAAACAGAGGCACCTGCTAGAAGCTAAATAAGTTGATGCTGAGTGGGGTGGATGAGGCAGGAAGAAGAAAGACCAAGAAGGTGGGACAGTTAGAGATCTACTTGGGGAAGAGGGCAGGAAGGAGTGAATCCACTGAGAACTGAAATAAAGTGGAGGAGGGCCCTCAATTTCCCTAGAAGATTCTTCTGACTTGTCCCAGGTCCCAAACATGAACCTGTTGGGCTGGGTCACCCACCTGCTGGAACTTCTGGTCCAGGCTCCTGAGAGCCCAACCACAAAGCAGGCACTCAGCCAGCACATGGAGCTTTCTTCCCTGAACCTGGCCCCCTGAGCACAGAGAGACCCTGGGAGGAGGTGAAGGTGAGATGGAAAGGGGAGGAGACTAAGAATATCCCAGACTCCTGGGTCCCAGGCCTTCCCTTTCCCCTGCACTTGGAAGTCAGCTCCATTTAAGGGGTTAGATGGAAGCTTTTCCTGAGGAGTAGGGTATGCTTGGATACACAAGTGTGTTCATCACCTAAGTCCCCATCCCCAGAGATGAAACTCGAGTATCAGTGAGAACAAAGGCATTTTTTTGTGGCCCCTCGGGCTTTGTCTTGGGGGAGGGAGGGTAGTGGTGAAGAAGGGGGAGGGAAGCTTTGCAAGGAGACACTTCTTGAAAGCCGACACTCATTTCACAAGGAAGCCCTGCGGCCCAGAGCACACTCTCCTGTTATGCAGAAGCCCTGGCACCATGCACCCATCTCTACCTACCCCTTCCATGCCCCAAACACTTAGCCTTCCACACATGAGCCCAGTGGCCCTTCTCACCCAGCAATGTCTTCTGCTCCTATCTCTCCCCACCTCAATCTCTCTCTTTCTTCTCCCCATCTCCCCAGGCTCTCCCCATTTCTCAAGAGAAAGCGCATCATGGCAAGGGCCTCATTCTCAATGATCATCTTCTGAGGCCAGGACTGAGATCTTATTTGAGGTGGAGAGAGGAAGGGAAAAGACTCAGAGGTCCTGGGGTCCAAGGTATAGCAAGGTAGCTGTTGTTCTGTGTATATTTAACTCCCATTTGCCCCTTAGACTCTCCATTCGCAGGCTCATGGCTCTAGAGCTGGTAGGAGCTTCGGAGAACATCTAGTCCAAACTCTGCATTTTACAGATGAGGAAAATGGGGCCCACTGACTTGCCCATGGTCAAAAAAGCCTCAGAAAAGGGGTTTGACCTCAAGTCTCTGACTCCAAAGGCAATGTTATTTCCATTGTATGACCCCGCCTCCCTAATTTCAGTCAGGCCAATGTGCTGATCCCCTCTCACTCACATTTTGACCTTTGTCTGGCCTTTGATCTGCCCACAGGCTATTTCTATCCCCTAGTTATTAGATGTTCTTACCTCTTCTCCTGACCATACCCTTCCTACCCATTCTGTTCCACCTTCCTAAGATTTCCTGATTAACCCTCACCTCACTCTGCTCATTTTCCCCCCTCTGTAACCTTAGGTCAATTAACTTCTTAGGGCCTCAGTTTCCTTCTCACATTTGTCAAATAAAAAGGTTGGACTAGATCACTTCCAAGGCTCCTTCTAGGTATGATAGACTGAGATTCCTTCTCTCTCTGGAAATACCTGCCCTCCCTCAGAGTCCAATAAAGGACTCTGATCATCAGGGATCCTTAAGACAAGATGAAAATAATGACCTGATTAGTGGCTCCTCACATGCTAAGTACAGCGGGTTTACACACACACACACACACACACACACACACACACACACACACACAGAGAGAGAGAGAGAGAGAGAGAGAGAGAGAGAGAGAGAGAGAGAGAAAGGACTGCCCAGGGGCAGAGATGGGGAGACATACCCTCTGGTTCTCAGCTATCTCAACAGTCAAGGCCCCATATGAATTTAAATCCCTTGGACTGAGTGAGGTCAAGTAGAAGTCAGTGTGATCTCATCTTACACCTGGTATTGGGTGTGCTGCCTAATTTGCTGAGTAACTGAATAGTTCTAAGAAGGCAGTGAGGTCTAGATGTTCTTCCCTTGGGGCTCCCAACCCTACTGGGTTCCAGGCGTCCTGTCCTTGGGGCCACCAAATTGATGGGGACTCTCCTAGGTGCTGACACAGAGCAAACACCAAGTTGGATCCAAGCCTAACTGATGCTCCCACCCCTCCTTCCCAGGAAGTGGCCCTTACCTCTATTCCATTGACCAGGTCAGGAGACAAGTAGGAAATCAGAGGTTAAAGCCAGGAGCACAGAGTACTAAAATTAGCGGTCATCTAATTCAACCCATCTTTGAAGCACAAATCCTCTCAGGAATCAGGAATCCTCAACTCCCCAATTCCTCTTGTAAGCAACACTATATTGAAACTAGGGAAGACCTTTAGTCAGGTGGGGGTGGGGTGAGGCAAGAGCTAATCTGGCTCCTCTCCATCCCCCTCACAATCCCCGAAACAGGCCAGCTGTTCTCACTGTACTCCAGGTCATTTAGAATTCTCTGAACTCCTTTCTTTTCTCTTCCCCCCCCCCTTCTCTTCCCTCCTCTTCTCTTCCTCAGGGTCAGGCATATCACAGACAAAGGATCACCTGACCACAGCTTAAAGACTGTTTCCCTCCCCAAAGTAAACTACCAACCAACGGAGATGGGAGGGGCACAAATCTGGGCACAGAGTTCAGACCTATACATAAGAAGTGTATCACAAAAGTGTGAATTCAATATTGAATTGTTGGGAAGAGAGATAGAAGTAAGAAGGGGCCAGGAGTCTATGGAGGCCCTGGAGCCTAAGGAGTCCCCTAAAACATGCCCTGCCCCATTTTCCAGGGCAACCCAGAATCACCCTGACCTGAAAACTCCTTGTATGCACAATCATTCAGTCAACAAACGTTTATTAAATACCTACTGTATGTCAGGCACCTGACTAAATTCTGTGGATACACAGAAAGGGAAGGGGGAAAAAATCGGTGCTCTTAAGGAATACAAGTCTAACAAAAGAGCTAACATGTGGATGACTACATACAAATAAGATACAGACAGAATAAATTGGAGATAATCTCAGAGAGAAGGTGCTAGCATTTAGGGGCTCAGCAATGGCTTCTTGTACAAAGTGGGGTCTGAACTGAGACCTGACAGAAGCCAGAGAGGCCAGAGACAGAGATGAGGAGGAGAGCCCTGTCAGTGATACTGGAGCTGGCCGAGGAGGAGGAAATGAGGTCTCTTCTTTGAGGAAGCACTCACTTTGACAGGGAAAACAGGCTGGACGTCTACCTGGGACACAGACAGACACACAGATGTGAAACCCAGCAAAGATTGGGGTACAGTGTTGAATATTAGCATGCTGGCTGACGATTATGGGAGGTGAAATTGACCGGGTAATGACCAGAAGGGTCTGTTCCTTTATGTACCTACAAGTGTTTTCAGTCATCATTTGAGTCCTTTCATGTGTTTATGGCACCTCCCCCAACTAGATTATTAATTCTTTGAGGTCAACTGGCCCCTTTCTTTTATCTGTATTTCATTCCCTAATCTGAGCATTTAGAGGGTTGGGCTTGGAGTTAGGTAGATCTGAGTTCAATATGGGCCTCACACACTCACTATCTGTTGCGACCCTGGCCAAGTCACCTAATTTCTGCTTGCCTCAGTTTCCTTATCTGTAAAATGGTGATAAAATAATAGCCCCTATGTCACAGAGTTGTTGTGAGGATCAAATAATATTGGTAAAGTACCCAGCACAGTGCCTGGCACATAGTAGGTACTTAATAAAAGCTTTTTCCCTTCCCCACTCATAGCAAGCCCTTGATAGATGCCTTCTGATCCACTGATGAATGTTGGTCCTGCTCCCAACTTAGAAAAGTTCAGTCCACCTGGGTCACTTGCCAATTTGCTGATTGAATGTCCTACCACAGCAGGGGAGGCCTGACCTCATTACTATACTCTCCAAATTCTGTGGCCTGGTTGGCATTTCAAAGAGAAGGCATAAAGGCATGTAAGGGCATAGAGTGGGCACAGAATAGATACCAGTCCTAGACGGAACCAGAAGCAGAGGCAGAGATGGGGAGCTGGAGGAGTCTCCTCTCCTCCTGCATCTATCACTAGAAACAGACACTCCTTGAATCCCTAGAGGCCTAAGGAAGAGCTGAGCACTTATTACCATGCCCTTGTGGCTTTTCCTTACCACATCCACCATTAGAACTCAGGGCCCCCCAGCTCCCAGTTCCCTGCTAAGTTGCAGTATGTTCTCAGACAAATTACTTACCCTCTCTGGGCTTCAGTTTCCTCACCTGTAAAATGAGACAGTTGTACCAGGTGGTATTTTGGATATCTGCCAACTCTGAAATTCTACTTCTAATTGTAGTCGAGTAATACAGTTGGTCTATTGTACATGCTGGATAGTAGGGGGAGGGAGAAAAGGCCTGAAAGAGAGGGAGAGAACAGTAATGGAATAGAGTCCAGAGTCCAAAAAAGTTCTGATCTTGGCTTCTCCACTTACTGGCTACGTGACCCCAGGTAAGTCATATTCCTCATCTGGACCTCAGAGGGTGGAACTAAAGGATGCTTGAGATTTCTTACAGTTCTAACATTATGTGATGCACACTGAGATAATCAGAAGCCTTCCAATCCTACTAACAAGGATACCTCCTATCCCATTCCAGATAAAGAGGCCTTTGGAACTGGACTGGGCTGGGCTGGGCAGGACACATTGCAGAGGGCTGTAAAGACCTCAGAAAGATAGCAGAGCTTGGTTCTAAGGTGGATCTCCACTTGGAATCATAATATTGTATGAACTTTCCCCAGGAGACACAGGCCCTAAATCTCTACAGAAGGGACTGATTTCATTTTTGTCTTTGTTCTCCTCAGCACCTAGCATAGTGCCTCACGTATAGTAGGTATTTCATAAACACTGGTTGAACTGAATTGGATTGAAGCAAAGAGTACCCTTGAAGTGAGAGGATTCCAGGCCCAGGAGGTTTTACCTACTACTGATATCTCACTATGTCACCATAAGAAATCAGCTCGTCTTTTCTTCTTCTCTCCTGATTTACTCTAGAACAGGGGTGGAGAGCCTTCAAACTCAAGGCCACACATGGCCCTCTGGTCCTCAAGTTGAGGCCCTTTGATTGCATCCAAACTTTTTTTATTTGGATGCAATCAAAGGACTTCAACTTGATGGTCTAGAGGGCCACATGTAGCCTCGAGGCTGCAGGTTCCTGTCCCCTGCCCTAGAACATAAGGGAGACAACCCCATAGGATAGAGATCAAATGATTCTCATCTTTCTTCTTCTCCAGGGATTCTCTTATTTTTACCTCCCCTGGAGGTAAGACATGCCCTAGAGCCTTTCCCATATGCCTACCCTGAGGAAAACAAACAGGGTGAGAAAGACAGAGGAGAGGGGGGGAGGAGAGAAGAGAAAGGAGAAAGTTTAGAGAATTCTGAATGACCTGGAGTACAAGGAGAACAGCTGGCCTGTTTAGGGGCTTGTGAGGTGGATGGAGAGGAAGTGGAGATTGGCAGAGTGGGATTAGCTACCACCTCTTCCCCCTACGCTTTGCCTCACCTGACTAAGGGTCTCCCCTAGTTCCAAAATGGTGCTGCTTACAGGAGGAACTGGAGGAGCTGAAGATTCCCGATTCCTGAGGATTCCTGCTTTGAGATCAAGAATGGCAAATACTTCCAGCAATTGAAAATGAACTTTGATGTCCCAATGACCTCTATAACCTTCTTGAGACTGGCTGTTGGCTTTCCCAGTCAGTCTCTTGGCTCCAGGAGGGGTGACTGGGAAGTGGGGGTGGGGAAGGAAGAAGCATGAGCCGGAAATGCCAGGAGACTAGAAACAATAGTGGGGTTTCATGGGCCAGTGTTTTCCTTGGCCTTTTCTCTGCTGCATGTTTACTTCCAGGCTCCTCCCCTCCCCCTGGCCTCCCTCTCTCCCTCCCTAAAATGCTTTTCTCCATCCTCACTCCCAGCCCCCATCTGTACACTGGCCAGAAAGTCAGTAGTCAACCAAGGAAACCTGTTTCCTCACCCTACCTCTACTCCCTCTGCCAAGGCTGGCCCTCTTTCCTTTCCAAGCTCCAATTTACAACTGAGGGGGGTAGCCTCGTTTGTCTGCATCATACTGTCCCCCATACTGAGGTCACCAGATGCAAGAGGGTAACAGAGATGAGAGTTAGCTCAGACCACAATCCACCATGAAGTCATTGAGAGAGTGTGGTTAGAATGAGAAGACTCCCATCAACAACAACAGCTAAAGGAACCACACACCAGCCCAGGGCTCTGGGGCCTATCCTTCCCAACACTCCATTCCTGGTTGAATTCCCTCACCCCCTTTCTCTAAACACTAGTGAACAAGGCACACACACTAGAGCCTCATTCCCCACATGCCTGACCCTAGGCAAGGAAGAGGGAAGAAAGCAGGAGGAAAAGAAAATGGGGAAAGGAATGATGGGGGGGAGGGGAACATATGGTAATCCTAACATTCATAGGGGGCTGTGAAAAAGCCTATCCTTTGGGAGAATTTAGAGGAGGGGAGCTATTGAGAATTTGAAATTGGTGGAGTGGGAAAGATGGGAGAAGACCAGAAGAGACAGAAAGAAACAGTGTGAGAGGGGAGAAATGAGAAAAAAGGGAATAACCAGAGAGAGATGGGAAGAAAGGGAAGAGGGACTCAGGCAAGGGAATAACAAGAGATTAGCAACTGACAGAGAGAAAAGGAAACTGAGAAGGAGAATAAGGGAGAGGAAGAAAGGAGGAGGGAAGCTGAGAGGGAGATTTAAGGTAAGAGAGAAAGGGAGAAGGGAGAGTAGGCTGTGGAAGCCGGTAGCCAACCAAGGGCACCCCTTCCTTCCCATTAAAAGAGGAAGAATCTGAGTAGACTGAGAAACTGAGTAATAACTCAGATTTAAGGCTTGAGCTGTCAATTTCCTTACAATGAGCCTCTGAAGCAGATAGTATGAGAATTACTATCCCCATCTTACAGATGAGGAAACTGAGGCTCAGAGCAGTAAGTGGCTTGTCTACAGTCACTTGGTGACAGATGGAGATAACAGCCAGGATTTAAATTCACAGCCTCCAGACTCTTTCTACTAAGGCCTCTCCAAGGGGAAAAATAGAGGGAAGAAACTACCGGACTAAGAGGGAAAAAACGGAAACCAGGAAGAGAAGAAAAACGAGTCCAAAATAAGAAGAGGCTGAAGGTGGGGAGGGAGACAGGTCCAGGCATGGACAGGGTCACTCAGGCCAGTAGTAAAATCTGGATCCAAACCCAGGCAGGGTCCAGTCCCGCTGCTTCCCCTCCATCTGTTCTTAGACAAACAAAAGCAAAACAAAAAACCACTCACATTGGGGTCCACACAGACATTCACTCATTCACACACACAGTGATGAAGTCTCCCCATCTCTACCCTCCAAGGCTCCTTCCTCTAAACCCTACTCAAAAGCAGAACAATTAAACCATCAAGGTCACCCTTCCTCTCCCATTCCCTCCCCTCTATGAGCCCTCCCCTTTCCTGGATGAAAAGGAGACTGAGGGAGAGAAAAGGCCACCCCACCCCCACCCCCAGCGAATAGTGGAAAAGAACTCGAATGTCCTGACTTTAGTCCCACCCCACCCTTGAAGGTGGGAAGGGAGAATCAGGATTGGAAGCAACTGGCACTGGTCCCTTTCCTACCATCCATGGGGGAGGCAGGGGAACCACCTCAAGTCCATACCTTATTAGGGAAGCCAAACGCTCCCATGGGGTTAACAGCTCTCCTCCTCGTGGGACAAAGGGCCCTATTTAGTCAGCACACCATAGGGAGGTAGACTTGCCAAGTAGCTGGTGGGCACAGTGCCCAATCTTGCCAGTGTGCCCTCATGCCAATTTCAACCCCTAGTAGGAAAAAAAAAAACTGTTGAGGCTCCAATGATTGCCCTTCCCATACCTAGAGTGGGACAGAGAGGCAAGGAAAGACAGGGATCCCAGGGGCCTGCAAAAGGCAAGGGGTCTGGATGCCAACTGGGCCAGAATGACTGTCTCTGCTCACTCCTGAGCCAACCCAGGCAGGTGAGATGATTGGGAAGCACAGGATGCCTGAATCCTGAGGGAGAGGAGCCCAGGAGTGTGCTGCCGTATGAAAAGGAGCCAAGCTGAAGAGAGATTGCAGAGGAGAAAGATTGAGATTGATGGAGGATGCTGATAATAAACAGGTAGAGAAACTAGACAGAGAAATCAAGGAGAGCAGAGAGGAAGGGTAAAAGAAAGGCTGATGTAGAAAGAGGAGACTGAAGATAAAGGGGGAAGGAGTAAAGGGGAAAGAAGAGGAGGGAAAGGATTAGCCCCAAAGTGGAGTCTGGAGGGTGGGGAGAGAGCCCCACACCCCACTTATACAATCCCATGTGTAACTTAGCAAGACTGGTCACCAGATCCCTGTCAGTGGTGGATGGGTGAAAGCTGTCTCTGCGTCCAGGCAGGTGGGAGGGAGCTAGCTAGGAGCCAGCCCTGAATGGAAACTTTTCCCCCCATTCACAGCCCCAGGGTGGAGGAGCCGCCCAGTTCTACCACCCCACCCCACCCCCTTACCCCCTACCTGGACTCCTGCCTCCTATATATCCCTCTCCTCCTCCTCCTCCTCCAGTACCAAACAACCAGGAGGCAGAAAGAGGGACTGAGAGACCTGGCAGGCTGGATTCAGCATAGCAACAGAAGGACACTGACCCCACACCAGTGACGCCCCTCAGGACTGCCAGGGAGGGTGCCTTTAGCCACCATGAAGAAAGAGGTGTGCTCTGTGGCATTCCTGAAGGCTGTGTTTGCTGAGTTCCTCGCCACCCTCATCTTTGTCTTCTTCGGCTTGGGCTCAGCCCTGAAGTGGCCCTCAGCACTACCCAGTATCCTACAGATCTCCTTGGCATTCGGCTTGGCTATTGGCACCCTGGCCCAGGCCTTGGGTCCTGTGAGTGGTGGGCACATTAACCCTGCCATCACACTGGCCCTCTTTGTGGGCAACCAGATCTCTCTGTTCCGAACTGTTTTCTATGTGGTCGCTCAGCTGGTGGGTGCCATTGCTGGTGCTGGCATCCTTTATGGACTCACCCCTCTCAATGCCCGAGGCAATCTAGCTGTCAATGCTGTGAGTCTCTGGCCTAGAGCCAATTGAATTCTTGGGGGGGGGATAGGAAAGAGGTGTTGGGGGAGGGAAGTATCAAATCATGGAGACTTTCTCTCCACCCCCTTCCCCAGAGGGGGCTTCTGGCTTTAGTCACTAACATAGGCCTCAGTTTCCCATTTAGGAAATGGATAGGAGGGTTGCCATTGTTGAGAGGCGGAATGAGGGACCTCAACCTGTGCCAATAGATCTTTGGTCAAGCTCCTGCCCCCAAGCCCGCTACACCCTTTCCATATGTCCTCTTCTCTCCTCTTCTCTCTCTTCTCTTCTCTTCTCTTCTCTTCTCTTCTCTTCTCTTCTCTTCTCTTCTCTTCTCTTCTCTTCTCTTCTCTTCTCTTCTTCTCTTCTCTTCTCTTCTCTCCTCTTCTCTTGTCTCCTCTCCTCTTGTCTCCTCTCCTCTTCTCACTTCTGTCCTGTTCTGTTCTTGTAACTGCTCTTTTTATTTCTTTTCCTCTGCCATCTCCTTCCCTTTCAACCCCATGTCCTTGCCCACATCCTTCATTCATACTTTTCTTAGCCCCAAATTTCCAGACTCTGTTCTTGGATACCGTGCTCTTTCTGCTCCCCTTCCCTTCCCCCCAACACCTCATCCCCAGCAGTCCTGATAGAAGCCTTTTTCCCTAACCTCAAATCTGGCCCATGATGTCCCTTACAGTCTGGACTCATTAATCCATTAGTTGAATGCAAAGGAGGATTTTGTTGGCTATTGTGAGGCAGTCTGCCCCACTGGAGAGACAGGTTTGGGGTTGGCACTGGCATTTGGCCAGGAATGGGTGTGGGAAAGAGGGGGATAGTTGGGCAGCTCCTCACAGAGGGGGAGAGGAAACTAAGTACACTTGGAAGGACAAGGTTCTCCCCTAAATAAATCATTCTGGATTTAACCAGGACAGAGCTGTCCAGAGTACATATGGAACCTATCAGAGGCTCTGTTCCAAGGCCCCAAGACTTTTTATGATCAAATGAGACTATATTTGTAAAGTGCTTAGCACAGTGCCTGGCACATGGAAGGCATTTAATGAATACTTGTTCCCTCTCTCCCTACATAATCTTAGTGAATGACTACATCTACTCATAATTTGGGGTGCTCTGCAATCTACCTGTAAGTAGGATCCCTGAACAGAAGATAAAGCTTGTCTGGTTTGGGGGCGGGTGGCAATCCAAGCCATTTTTCAAGGCTGATATTCAGCTAACATCTCTTAGCCTAAGGTCTCAGGCAGAGGCAGAGAGCAAAGAAGGTGGAAAATAAACTCATCAATGCAACCATGATAAATGAAGTCCATTCAGTGACCCCCTCACAACTTCCCTCCTCACCTGCAGCTCAACAACAACACAACTCCGGGCCAGGCGGTGGTGGTGGAGATGATCCTGACCTTCCAGCTGGCTCTCTGTATCTTCTCCTCCACTGACACCCGACGCACTGACCCTGTGGGCTCCCCCGCCCTCTCCATTGGCCTGTCTGTCACATTGGGACACCTGGTTGGGGTGAGCAAACCACCCTCAAGGACTCAGCTCTATTTTGAAGACAGGGTGGAGATAACAATGAAAGTGAGAGGAGTGCCCACTGCATAGGAAGAAGATGGGTGTCCCATTGGCAGTGCCCCTTGGTCCCAGACTTTGGGAGAGCCAAGGGGCTCAAGGGACTGGTGAACAGTCCCTTTTCTAGACCCAGTTTTACCTGAGATTCTGGTTTATCTTTGAGTGTTCCAAGACCCAGCTCTGATCTTGTCCCTCTAGAAACTCACAGGATATGTTTGAAGGGGGATGGAAGTTGGATAAGAGGGAAGAATCAAAAATCAAGTTAGAAGAATTAATTAATCCAGGATTAACTAGACAGGTTGGTAAAGTGAAAAGAGCACTGAGTTGAGAATTAGGAAAATTAGGGTCAGTTTCCTCATCTGACAAATAAAAGGACTGGATTACATGGCAAATTTTCTTTGTCCCCTCAAATTCCATCTCACTGTCCATGACTGGCTGAGGGCAGGGAAGGGAGAGAAGCCAAGGGTGAAAAGAAGAAAAATCAAATTAGGGTGGGAAATCACTGTGGTTGCAATCCTCTCTTCCACAGATCTATTTCACAGGGTGCTCCATGAACCCTGCTCGATCTTTTGGCCCAGCTGTCATCATGAAGAGATTCAGTCCAGCTCACTGGGTGAGACAACCAACCCCTTACCCCTAAACCACTGGGATTAAATAGCTGGCTGTACAGGGGTCTTTCCCTTCCCCCTGAATGTGGGGGAGGGCTGGTCATGAGAGTTTAGAATGGAGGTGTGGATTGGTAGGAAGGAGCTAACTTGTTGGCAAATTATACGGACTGCCCCCGGGTCAGGGGGAGGGAGGAGGATTTGTGTATTCAGTTTTTCTTAAAGGCATTCATGGCCTGTCCTGGGTGGGGCAGGGTGGGGTGGGGGCTGGGTTGTGGAATCTGCCTCTGGTGATCCTGGAGAACAAAATCTGGAGATTTTGTGTAACCAGGCCCTTCTGGGTAGATTTTTTAGTATTTGGGCTTGAAGTGTTTGAGCTTCTATGACCTATCCCTGTGACTGTCTCCACCAGGTGTTCTGGGTAGGGCCTATCACAGGGGCTGTCCTGGCTTCCATCCTATACTTCTACCTGCTGGTACCTAACTCCATGAGTCTGAGTGACCGCATCGCCATTGTTAAGGGTACATATGAGCCCGAGGAAGACTGGGAAGAGCATCGGGAGGAACGGAAGAAGACTATGGAGCTCACCTGTCATTGACATACACCTGGCCGTGTGGGGAGAGACAGTGCTTTATTCCCATAAAGCATCCAGGGGGAAAATGGACAAAAACAGCAAAGTTTCCTTCTTCCACAGACGGGTATTCTGGGCTAGGGAATCAGTCTCCATGGTTACCCAGTTAGTGCTGGGAGCTAGGACCTGCTCCTGGGTGGTGATGGAACTATGAGGGAAAGGGACCTGTCTATGAAGAGTTTTCTCTCAGGGATGGGCAGACACGGACAGGCACCAGAGCTTGGACCTCAGAAATTATACTGGAACCCAATAGTAGGGCCTAGAGTCTAGAACCTGTGGAACCCAGAACCTAGAACCCAGCCTACCGTGTATTCTACCAAACAGGGCCAAATTCTATAATCAGTACTCTGGCCTGGGCCCAACTCCTCACCAGTTCTGCCTCAAAGCCAGAGAGACCTGAATCCCAAGGAATGGCAAGGACTCTCCCTTCCTCCCTATCCAGGCTCCATAGCTCCTCTAGGACAGACAGACAGCTTCACTGAAAGACACCTTATTTATTTTTAATCAACTAGGCCAAGGGGTAGACTGGGGTTGTATAGTGGTATTTGGGGGAGGGCTGTTCCATCCTCCAATAAATCATTAATAATCCTGATCTGTCTTTTCTATCTTTCCCTATTTTTACTTAGTTTTTTTTTTTAATTTTGGAGACAATGGAGGTTAAATAACTTGCCCAGGGCTAGTAAGTGTCTGAGGTTGGATTTGAACTCTGGTCCTCCTGACTCCAGAGCCAGTGCTCTATCCACTGTACCACCTAGCTGCCCCCTATTTAAACCCATTTTTCCCTGAGAGAGAAAGGACAAGATATCTCCTTCTTAGACAGATGAGGGGCGGGGAGGGAAGAATATAGGTATTTATATGGTATGTGCCAGGCACTGTACTAAATGGTTTATAAATATTATCTCATTTGATTCTCACAGAAACCCTATGAGATAGGTGCCATTATTATCCCCAT